GTCTCTTATGCATCAAATCCATTCAGGAACCTGTGGGTCACTGAGACCTTACTTTGTTAATTATGCAAACTAAATGCAGCATAATGTTCCATGATGTTAGCCATGTGACAAAGACACAAGCTTACTTAACAGGCGATCAATCAGGCGGACAGAAAGGCAGATTTACAACAGAGTGACGGGTACAGTTTACTAAAAAAGGCAAGCACAGCTGTACATGCAGCTGGCTGGTGTAGAACTTTACTAATTAATTTACTTCACATAGTAGCCCAAGTGTCACAGTGCCATTTGAGCACCTACGTGTATTTTCATATATAACACTTCATATAGCCATAAAAATGAGCGAGGGTTGTTGTCTTAAATGGGTATTTCACTGGTTCTGCACATAAAAATCTGTTTATTTGTCATGAGAAGAAGAAGCCTGTCACTTGTCTTCAGAGCGTCTGGAGGAGCTTGCAATAAATAACCCTGATGATGTCATAGTGACGTCATCAGAGTTATCTGGCATGGGCTTGAGACTTCATATTTTTGACAGCACTGTGTTACAAATTGAAAGTGTGCAATGTGCAAGACGTTGGTTTTACCAGGTAGATAGGGTCTAATCGATGTTCTCCAGTTGGGAAATGTAGGACTGGTGCTGGACTCATACTAGAAACTAAAAGTCTGAATATCTCGGCCACTTTATGGAGGTACAACACTTTTTTTTAATATTTTGTACAATCTAAGTAAAATGGACTTTACAGTGGTGGGAATTAACAACTTACGCAAGAACTTTTCTCAAATACAATGATAGTACTTTATTTGAGTATGTTTAATGCAACTTCATACGTAAATATTCTACTTGTTCCCACACATTTATCTAATATTTGCTCGATCAGTTAATTTTAACATTACGATTTAACCCGACACATGATAAATGGGGGCTCCTTGTCACATTTAACTTATATGTGAGTCCACCAAAAAAAGAGATTTCCTCTTTGAATGTCTCAGATGGTTTCTTGACTCCTCAACAGGAGAGGTAAAATTATCCAATATCTTACAAAAAAGCAAAGATTAGAGAAAAATTCCAAACAAACAAATTGGGGTATCAGAAGTTCATTCGTCTACTCTCCTCTCCCAGTAATCATCTCAACCCCCAGTTTAGGAACCATTGGACTGAACTGAACTGGTTAACTACAGCAATAAAATGTACACCATTTACAGAGTGTTGCATCAGTATTAACCAACTAATTGCATCACATATAATAGTAATAAACTATAGAAGGGGCCATTTTTCTATTACTACTTTTAGCTCATAATACGTATAATAAGCAAAGATACATCTGACTCTTGAGCCCATAGCCTAAAAACTGATGCGAGATGTTGGCCTTTTTGAGAAGAAGAGAGCTTAACATGAGACTCAGATCTGCATCTGTATGTGTGTGTGTGTGTGTGTGTGTGTGTGTGTGTGTGTGTGTGTGTGTGTGTGTGTGTGTGTGTGTGTGCTCCTGATTGTCTGATGTATGTGTGCTGATGGTTATGCCTGTGATCCGTGGCACTGCTGCTGTTTGCAGTGAAGCATGTATTAGCATGGGACTGGAAGAGGAGGGGAGTGTCTCACTCTTGTGTGTGTGTGTGTGTGTGTGTGTGTGTGTGTCTACACTGATTGACGTCACAGACGCCCACTCATTCCATCTCGTCTGCGTGCGCGGAGAGAATAGATCCCCATCTGCATCCAGCTCCTCTCCCCCCCTTCTTCCTCACCTCCCGGTACTTTCTCTTCCTCTCCCTCTCACCCTGCCTCTTCCCATTCACTCTCTCTTGTAGGCTACATCCCACCCCCGTAGAGTGCAGCCCAGCCCCGCAGATAAACAAGACTGTCGAACACAAACAATTTAAGACAGCCAGACAGAAACATCTACTCCGAGTAGCATATTAGAGAACCTTGCCACTAAACATCTGTTCATTTCAAGCATCACTGAGGTCCGGTCTGCAGGGAGGACATTTGACTCAGGCTTTCACACAAAATGTCAGTGTGTACCTGTTGGCAACTTGTGCATGCGCATACTGTCCTCTGGCTACTCTCTCTCTCTCTCTCTCTCTCTCTCTCTCTCTCTCTGTGTGTGTGTGTGTGTGTATGTGTGTGTAAGCATGTGCAAAAGTGTGACGTTCTTTCCACAACAAATGCTCATCCACATTCACACAGTGGTATCCCTGGTGACGACAGGACATCATTTAAATCACTTCCTCGTAAAAGGTCATCCTCATCCTTTACGCAGAGAATTTCCTCCCACCCCCACCCCCCTATCATCCTCTTTGTACTACACACACACACACCAACGCACAAGGGAGGGTGTGTGCAAACACGAGGCGCACACACACACACACACACACACACACACACACTCCATCCTGTGTGCGATAGCCTGACCAGAGTGATGTGGACAGTGTGTGTGAATGGATGAGTGTGGGGAGGAGACAGCGGCTGGAAATGCGTGGGATGACAAAATAGGATGTTTAAAAAGGGAAATGGGGCTATTTTAGTCAACATATCATAACCCATCAGAGAGAGTTGGAGAGGACAGAATGAGAGTGCACACAGGGGGGGGGGTTGTGCGAGGCTGGGGGCACAACTCCCTTTTGATTACTAGACAGTGAAAGGAGACAGGAGAAGAGGATGAACTGCAGACAAGCAGGCAGACTGGCAGATGGTCAGACAGACAGTTAAACATGCAGACAAACATTAGGTCCGTGCAAGCCGGGCAGCAAGCATCCACAGGCGAGATATAAAATAATATGGGAGTAATTAGGTCTTTGATGTAAGAATGCCTCGGGGGAGGGACTGTTTGTCTACGTCCGACAGTGTGTGCATCTTAGTATCAAAGCTGTTAACGAGTCAGAGGGCTGATCACAGGAGACCGGATAAATGGACGGATCAATAAAGGTGTAGGAGCCGAGGAATATCACAAGGACTACACAGATGAAAAGAAGGTGGCACAGAAAAGAGAGAGAGAGAGCACCGTGGCTGAGATCAGAAACTTTCTGTCTGATCAATAATGTATTTCCTTTAGTCCCCCCCCCACGCCACAGCACTCCATCAACAGATCTTAGGATGCTGAATTTATAACCTGGGCTTAAGAATTCCTACTTAATTGAACCATCTGGTTGAATACAGGTTAGATAGAAAAGCATCAAACAGATGATGCTGACAGAAGATTAAAAGAAAGTATGATGGGAGATGTGAATGAAAGAGCCTGGGGGCGGGGGGAATCTACTTTCATGATTGAAGTGCTGTTTTATGATGAAATGTATGATCTGTCTACTATTATTGAATGATTTCTAATAATATGCCTCTAGAAAAAAAACACTTTTTTATAATAATAAATAATAGATTGTAAGGTTAATCAGAACTCGATTGCATGCCATGAGTGAGGCTCCCTGCAGGAATAAAGATAAGACAAGGCTGCCATCTAGTGGTGGCGCGGTGCTATAACGCCGTGCACACGACAAAATATCGACAAAATGGAGCCCGGTGCTCGGCCATGACAATGCAGGTCAGAGGGGCTGCAACTGCTGCACAAAACAGCGGAGGACACAGAAGATAGCGTGACTTTGAGTAGAAAATGCAGGCAGTGATTCGTTGTTAAATGAACACTCACAGGTGTTGTAGTGTTTAAGAAAGAAGGCCTACTGCAGCCAAATCTTATTTAAGCTCTTTTTTTTAAATAAAAGGCATTAAAAAAATCGTTATTTAATGCATATCAAAGTGAGCTTTGGGCTTGAAAGGACAGAGCAAACATGCATTCCCATTCACACAGTCTATGCTGGAGGGAAATGAACACAGACACACAAAAAAGTAGCCGTATTCATTCATGTTTGCTTAGTAGACTACATGCATTTTCTCATGCCTGCTGCTGCCCAGGCTTCTAACATGAAGTGGCACATGCAGCCCTGTATGCGTAAAACTAAATATGGACCTCTCTTTATATGATGTTGCTAAATAAATCGGTGATATTTCATTTGAGGGTCGAGGTGAATGTGGGTCACACTCACACTTGAGTACGCGTAGAGTTAAATCTGAGTGTGTGAAGCCTAAAGGGGAATAAAGATGCCGGTCTGCTCCTTCAGTGGGGACAGGCCTCTGTGGGCGAAGACATACAGAGCACTTTAACTCTGGTGAGGGCGACGAGGCAGGGGCGTGAAAGGTATAGGCTTCAGAAGAGGCCTTTAATCAGTTGTTGGGTATCATGTCCCTTAATATTTTAGTGACTCAAAACAAGGGTGAATCATTATGTAAGGATGAAGAACGAACACACAGTTCTCATCGAGGAATCCTAGAATAGTGTCTCAACTGTGGCTGACCTTTTGCTGACCTGACCTCTCTATGGATCTGTTGCAACAGATCCGTGGGATGAACCGTGTTGGTTTCAATCCCTCAGCTCAACGAGTACCGACCTACAGTTTGGAGGATCAACAAACTTCCATTGTTTGATTACACAAAGCAAATAAGCAGAATGGACGTGTCTCTGTGAAGGCTCTGCATCCTGTAGCAGCTGTCTCAAAGGAAATGTTAGATTTATCTACAGTGAAATTACATTACAGGCATGTTTCATTTAGTCAAGAGGTCACGGCAAACTGTCTAAATCATGTTTTATGTCTTGCATCTGTTAAAATGAATCCAACATGAGCATTAAAGGTTTGATTTTACGTCTCCCTATGCAGATAAACACTGAAAAGCTCTCACATGTGGTTAATAATAGAGATGCATCAGAACTAGGTTCAGTAAAGGATTACAGGCTACATTTTAGCTTTAACTTGTAATTTCTAAGATGATAAAGTATTGCATTTACTTAGACAATAAAGGAGTTTCAGGCTGAGCACTTCGGGTATTACTAAAGTGGAATGTGCTTGAAGATGCATCCTTACAAAGTTCACAGAAAACTTCCCGTCTTCTTTTCAGTTATGGACTCTTAGGGTGGAAGTTTCAACTTTTACCTCTCAAAGAAACAAACTGGAGACACTCATTCGAGGAAAATTCCCAGGACTTCTTTTTATTAAGAGAATTACAGAACATAAGAGAGGGACCAGACACCTGCATTTGTCAGAGAAGGTTTCCAAATTCAATCGTTTTAAAAAAACCAGAGTGTTTAGAAAAGCCGACATGACAGCGTGGATGGAGCAGGAGCTGTTTTACACGCAGGGTCGTCTAGGAGACAGGTCGGAGGCAATCGCTGTTCCCGGAATGTTTCACATGTTCATCTTCCTCTTTCTTATGTGGACAACACACTTCAACACACTTTTTTTAAACACGATTTCAATGGAAAAAACAAACAAACAAAAAAAAAAAAAAACAAGGAGACAGAAGCAAAAGGGAACTCACTGCACATTTAGAGGTCTAAAAGAATCACCCACATTAACATGGCTGAACCGTTAATAAAACATGGATAAAGGCTGAACTGTAGGGGGGGGCAGGAGGAAGGTCTAATCTGTGGATGAGGAAGAGGGAAGAAGGGGAGAGAGAAAGGGGGGTGGTTAGGGAAGGAAGAAAAACACAGGAATACACAACTCACAACATAGCCAATCCGGCAGGGATGCACTTTCTACACCACACAAGCCTTTTAACAATCATGAAATGCCATTTAAAAAAGATTTTAGTGTGTTCATCTTGCTTGCAGACACTTGATATGACCACTGCAAATCTGCAAGGCGCTCCATAATCAGCTTTGCTTTTTGTGCTAAAAATCTGTACGGATACTTATAAAATCATTGATAAAAATATTCCTCTGTTAACAATACGCCTTGGAGGGAAACCATGTGAGAGACTTGGGGGGGCTGGCTGGCTGGCTGGGGGGTTCAGAGGGGGGTGGGGGGGAGAGAGGGATTGTAGAGGAGGAGGAAGCTTGGGCAGTGGTGCTACTCGGACTTGGCCTCCTCCTTGGCCTCCTCGGGGGCTGCCTCCACCTGTGGGATGAAAGCAGACGGGCCGTGGTCAAAACTTTGAGCCGTTTTTCAAGTTGACGCTCACCCTGTGACGTCTAAAAGAACTTTTTGGAGTTTACAAACCTCGTTGGTCTTGGCCTCTCCGTTCTCAGAGTGGTTTTCCTCGTTTGCCTCTGCCTCTGCGTTCTCCTTCGCCTTCTTGGTCTTCTTGTCCTCCTTCTTATCGTTCACAGCCTTATCTTTCTGCGGACGGCACGAAACAGGCTGTTAGCAGACCGAATGCGCACACACACACACACACACACACACACGACGTCGCTCCTGCTTTGAGGTGCATGTTCGTTCAGAATCGGGCCCCTACTATCTCTTACCTTTGCTGCCTTCTTGGCCTTTGGTTCCGGCTTGGGTTGGGCCGGTTTCTGTGAAAAGAAAAGGGGGAAAAGGGATGAAGGAACGGCTACAGTTGAATACAATAGTACTTTCTTGGCTAATCTGCAATCTTTCTTGTTTTTCTGAAGGTACCGGAAGACTTCGGCTCCCATAAGAGACTTTTTAAATGGCCGATTAAGAAATAAACTCTAAAAATGTGCCCGACAAGGAAGCTCCTTTAAATACACATATTGTCTGAGTGTTTATAGCATTAAAAATACTGCCGTTAACTAGATTAATTAGGGAATTTAGACAATATTAAGATACTACACTATACTCATAACTTTGAGAGCCTCTATGATGCCCGCTATTGGTATTTAGTGTGTTTTGTACCAGCCCTGCACTTTTTACTCGCTACACTCTTTCTAAATCATGTTTTATACGTATAATAAGGCATTATATTAACTTTAAGGTAAGTCGAGCAACTTAATTACTACATAATTCACTATTTAAATAATCTTAGCTAATTCTTAGGCTCCATGATGTAAAAATTACATGTTTTGAAGTTTTGTTTTGCTACAAATCTAATATAAGTACTTTATATAATAGAAAAACTTGCTTCTATACTTGCTTTTGCTTCTCTGAAGGAAAAGTGCTGCTTTTTCTGATCAGTTACGTGTGTGTAACTACTTTTAAACATTTTAACATGTTTTACGTGTTTTTTAACAGAACCTGTCAATGTAAATGAGTTGGTTGAGTTTGTATATGCGTCTTCTTACCGCTGATAACCGAGCTGATCTCCTCTGGGGCTGAAACAGAACAAAGACTGTTATCACGGGGCTTTTATTTTGATTGGGGCTGTATTCAGGAAAAAACACATTTGAATTCAATACTTATGTACTTTCTTCCTAATAATGCCCTCACATGTCCCACATACTGATTAAAATGTCATTTTAATCACGTGTATGTGTAATACTCAACGTGCCCCGACTCTTACCTCCTCCCGTTCTCCTCCTTCTGTTCCCTGTGACTGAAAAACACAAACACAACAAATTAAAATGGAAAAATTTAAAAATAACATCATTAAGAGTTTAAATAGTGTTTGTATTAACAGTAAACAGTTGCTAAATGCTTCAGGCCCATATTATGAATAATTACAGACCTGCTGAAAAAACTTTTTAGTTTCATGCGAAAACAAAAATTTATTTCAAATACAGGTAATTTTAAAGGATTAGAGCCCAGAAATGTTGGGGCAGTGCATGATCTCAGTAATGGGCTGTGAGAGCTCAGCCATGTGGGCCTCTGGAGCCATATTTTGAGGGCCCAGGCCCTGCTTTTCCCTTTCACTCCCCCATCTCTTTCTCTCATTCAATGCATGAAGCTCAGATTTGAAAGCTGGCGCGGGAGTCTTTGAGAAGGGGGAGGGACCTGCTACTCTCAGGCGCGCCACCCGGCGGCAGAGCCACGCCATCGCAGCCATTTGGGACTATGAACAAAGAGAGAAAATATACAATTTTATCGAAACGCGACGGCGAATGTTTGTTTTTGTGGCCAAAATGCAAAGCAAAGGCACTAAAGCTATTTTTAGTGGCGTTTTTGGCCGGTTTGGTGGCGAAATGGCGATAAGTGAAGCGTTTGTTCTCGGTAGGTCGGCGACGAAGGTGGACAAGAGCTGCAAAGCATGGCTGCTGCTTGTGCTTTAACTGCATGGAGACCGAGAGAGACTTCTGACTCTCCAAAAGGACAGCGGCTCTCGGAAGAAAACGCGTTTTATAGGCCGTGTCCGAGCAGGAAAATATTCATTCTAACACACAAAAAATGGATTTTATATCTAGAAAATAGGCAAAAATTACCAGCGATAAATACCCGTTATACATTGCGTTATAATTAAGTAATGTCTCAGAGGGATGTCTTCCCAATCGTTTGCATTGCATTAACAGCCGATATCCCCTCCAAACTATTTTTGTTATTTTTAATATACGTACCTTTCTCTTGGGCATGTTGAGCTCTTGGAGGTTTTCTTACAAGTACAACTAAAAACTGTTTTTCTTAGTGGGTTTCAGTGCATGTGAAGACGAGTGTCTCCCTTATGCTCGGCAGTGTAGTAAACACACTGGAACAGAGAGGCGAGTGGTTGAATGGGGGGAGGGGTGCGGCTAAAGGCATGATTGATAGGCCCTCAGCCAATCAGGTGACGCCATTCGGGGCTGCAGAACACTTGGAATTTTTGGAGCCGGTGATGATCTGGGGGTCTGCGCGAATGGCTTCTTGCAGGGAGAGATGGGAGGAAAGGTTGCCATCCGAGGACGTGTTTGCCTTCATACGAGTGTGTTTAATTACAGTGAGAAAAGAGGCACGAGCTGGGGTGAACGTGCATGCAACACAACCCACCCCCCCTTTTTCTCCCTCCCTTCTCCGCTGTACAAGGCCCCGGCGGCGGGCAACATGCCCCGGTGTAAAGCCATGCATCCTCGCTGGCGCGTCTAAAAACCCGGGGCTCACATCTGCAGCGGCCCAGTATGGAGAAAAAATCACCATAAATTCAGTTCGTGTTTGAATCCAATATGGCGCCCACTCCTCACCGACACATTTTTTTTTTTTTTTTTTTGTTTGTCAGTCGGCTTTCCTAAATTCGTTACAGGGAGAAAAGCTGTGCGTCGTCTGCCCCAGACGCCTGCAGGGGGCCCACAAAGCCCGTGTAATGCTGTGGCTGCACAAGACGGCGCTTCAGTGGCTGTGCTGTTACACATAAAACATTGTGCACAGTAAGTGTTCAAAATCACAGCACATTTTTTAATTTTTTTTTTCTATGCACCCTCTTTCCCCTCCACCCTATCATTCACCCTTACCACACCAGCATTAACTGGAACACCTGCAACCGTGCACATGTGCAGTGTGCACGGAACAATAGCCCGTGTCTGGCTTGCACAGACAATGGGCTCGATGCTGAAATATTCAGACAATATAAACCCTGTTGTCTTGCCGTCACGATGGGCCTATTGCCTCTCAGTGCGTGCGTGTACGTGTCTCGGAGTGTGTGCTCCCGCTTTTGCACACAGAGAGAGAGAGAGAGAGAAAGAGAGAGAGAGAGAGAGGGTGAGAGACTAGAAGGGGCGGGGAGGCAGGGTAGAGGCGGAGGAGGAATGCCAAGCTCCATCCAGTGCTGAGAACCGGAGCATTTGCGCAGATAGTCTGCGTTGCCTTCGCCAGACACACAGCATTTTTAGCCGGGGAAGTTTTTTTGTTGTTGTTGTTGTGTTTTTCTGTCTCGCTGCCGAGCAATCCGTCTGCAAAGTGTCTGCAAGGAGCAGAGCGACCGACCTCTGCTTTACCGGACTCGTGCATCAGCATCAGGGATTTTAATCATGGTGATCAAAGTGTACATAGCATCGTCCTCTGGATCCACTTCGGTAAGAGATACAGGAATTGAATTTGCTTTAATATGTGAGTTGTTTTTTTTAAAAAGCTGGACTCATCTGCAGCAACCAGCGCTTGTTGTTGGCCATAGAAAGGCAGCATGAACTTTTATTGAACTCACTTACTGATGTCCAGGCTGTCATCCTCTCAGTCTGGAGTGGTCTGACTCATCAGAAAGCATGCTGCTCTGCCCTCCTCAAGACTTTGGACACAGATGGGGGGGGGGGTCTCTTAGTGTCTTTTCTACTCTACCAATTTGCCTTCTTTAACTTTGTCACAGAGAATGAGACAGAGAGGAAGTTTGAGGGTACACTTCTCTCTCAGCTGTGGTTTGTCACAGGGTTTCCTGACGTGACAGTTGAGTGTTTTTGCAGCTGAAACCAGGCTGAGCAAACAGGAAAGCCATGTTGTAAAAATCTACAAATGCACTCAAGATGGTCTGTTTTGTCACCTGATGCCACGACAGGGTGGTTCACAGTGTGCTGTGTTTGTTAGGGGGACGGATCTGACTTGAAAGTAGAGTCTTGAGTGTTGCCTTCACTGTCCTGCAGTCGAGAAGACCTTCAGCTTCACTCTTGCCAGTTCCTTCCAGAGTGGAGAGGAATGATGGTGATGCAATTCTCCAGGGCCCCTTTTTAGACCTGCAGCTGCAGCCCAGGAACACTTATGCTCTGTTTAGGACTTGTTGGAGGTCTGGATTTGTGGGAATATACACATTTATATTGAAAAAGTGCTCTAAAGCTTGAATTTTGTAATCAAATATATGTTGATTACAGTTTCTGTATGATTTTCAACAAGATTGGCGATCAGTTAAATATTACTGACATCAACATAGTGTATCTAATGGTCTAGATTGTTACATAAATGTTAAAAAGTGCAATTTTGAAAGTGCTCTGTGCAGAGATAGTAGCCAGTAAATCTACTCAAGTCCATTAAAAACCCGTATTTCCTCGCTGTCACTGTAGAAATTAAAGTGCCTCGTCATTCCATGAGGTTTGGATCACCTTTAGGATGATTTACCCTCATTAAGCAACTTGTCTCCGCAGCTTGCATTCAGAGGAAGTGATCAAGCACAGAGCCTCTTTTCAGTTGGACAGCGCCGAGTGACTTTATTGCCCTTACAGTAAATGACAGCAGCAGTATTACAGGACGGGAGCTTCCTTTAAAGTCCGAGCGGTCTGCGTTTAGAGCCAGTGATGCCATCACTGTGCTGGAGCCTGTCTGGGAAAATGCATTACCTCTCATTGATCAGCCTTTAGTAGAGTGTGTTGGAAGTAGACTTTGCTTATGTCTTCTTAAATGAAGCATATACACACTTATATTTATATTATCATCTCCATTCTACGTTTTGTTTTAGAGTTGGAAGAAATCGATTAAAGTGCGATAAACATTTTATGTAGGTTTTAACTAATTTCTATGGATTGATTTAGATATAAGACATGCTTTCACATTAGTTTATAGGACTTTAGTCTAATATTTATGTTAGAATCTCTCTAACATATATCTTGAATGTAATACCATTACATTTAGACTAGTAAAAAGAAGCTGAGTGACAATTTGTCCTCACCAAGCTTGCAGTTCGATGGTATCGGTGATGAAAAAACAATGCGATTGCATTCCACTATCCAGCAGTGTCTGCTGCTACATTAATCACTCCAATCTAGTTCAGCATGAGACTTAAGCAACAGTCCAAACAGGGAGACAAGTGGGAGTACTTCAAAAACAACATTTTAAAGATTTTGCTCCACTGAGGAAATAGTTGCAGGTCAGTGAAAGTGTAAAATTAGCTGGAGGAATGTATCAGATTCAGCGCTTGACAAGCTGCAACAGTCAGCATTATTCAGGCAGATGTAAAGACATAAAATTCTGTTCCAAGTTAGAGAACATTTATAGCTTTTAGTGCTTATTGGTTTTATGCAGAATCCGGTTCTGTGTGGCATCAAGGCCAGTAAACATCTCAAGAACCATAAGGTTTAATGGACTGAACTCTTCCATTTCAAATACAAGACAACCACAGCTGATTAACAGATGTGTAATAGTGCACAAAGGTCAGTTAGAGGGAGGTACAGTATAGGCAGGACAGATAATGAAGAAAAAACGTGAGTTGTGTCAACATTACTGTTCCTTAACATCTTCTATCTGCACGAATCATGAATAGAGGGTGTGTCCCATCGGCTCTTCTTTCTGTAAATACCAGTCATAGTCACAGTCTCATATATTATCTCATATATTAACACATACAAAATATAAAAAATAGGTCTCCTCCCTGCCACAGTTTATGTGGGTAAGAGTCCCAGAGCAAAGCACTGATTGCCAGCTTAGACCTCCTCCCCGACCCCTGACCTGTGCTAGTCCTGAATGAGGCCTGATCTCATCATATTTCCACCCAGTAATGAGTAGCAGAGTGTTTGAGTCACCTGAAGAAATGGTGTTGTGACTCGTGAATTCTCCAGAGGGACTTCTAGTGTTACCGTCAATGGCTTTGTAAAGATTAGGTCATACTCCATACCCATGAGCTGTGTGACGGAAATAAAATGAAAGAATAAATACATTCTTTTGATACGTAAAATATCTTTTTAGAGAATAATAGTACTATTTATTCTCGTTTTCCTTGTTCTTTGGTTATATGGAGGCCAGATTTGAATACCAAATTAGGATTTACATTTTTACATACAGACATGTAAATACACACACACACCTGTAGCAGTGTATCTAGACGGTGGGGCACTAAGCCAACATAAAACTGAAAGTACGTCTGTGGAAAGAGCCAAAAACATCGGCCAGCACCACAGTACTTTTACTGCTTCATTTCCCTTTATGCACTGCAGCCACACTGTACCATTTCCTCATTGCTGCAATAAAGGTATCTAGAATCACAATAACTTGGGAATATTCTTTCACTGTGTACTGCATATGAACAGTCCAAATCCTCCTTCATTCCACTGCAGGTTTGACATTAGGGTCTAATACGTCAGGCTTGAGTTGGACGGCTGCTCGAGTGAGTCAGCTACTTGTTTTTTTTTTAATACCAGGTCATTTTGGCCTTTTCGCTGTTGTTTCACCTTTAGGCAGCAGCGATGGAACCCAGCCAGAGCAGCAGCGTAAGGCTCTTTTGTAACAATGTTGTAATGCTGACTGAGCTCAGGATTGGGTGGAGGCTACTGTTGCTGCTAAAATTCCAGTGACTGTCGGTTTTTCAGCAGAAATCAGACTTGATCTAATCAAGACAAAAAACCTGTATCCCTTACAAACACACAGGCCTGGGGTTGATTCATGTTTCCGGTAGTCCAGACAGTGGACTTTGCTGCATTCCAATGTTGGACTACAGAAGAGTCATTTAGTCTTATCTATAAAGTTTTCAGTTTAAATGTCTTTTCATTTTCATCTGAGTGAACTGAACATGAATTGACCCCAAGCCTGAGTCGACATAACAGAATGAATCAGTCCCCAGCATATTGATCGAAGCCTGTGTTGTGGATACAGTGTGTCTAATCAATGCCGGCCATTGTCTGGCAGCTGTTGCCATAGTTCTGCCCTTTTTCTGGGATTGATCTGGTCTGGATCTGATCTCATTGCCCCACCACAGCTCTCACATGACGATGATGATGATGTGGAATGTAAACCAAAGAGCATATGTCGCAGATTCCTTCTCCACATTTGCAGTTTTCTTAGATTCTACAAAATAATGGTGCATGCAACAATAGATTTATCTCTCCTTTACTGCCTCT